ACCAAAGTCGGGGCGAAAGCGCGTTTGCCATCACAATAATACGCTCCAGCCCAACCTGACTTCAAAAATTATACTCGGCATAGAAGAATCTCTTCTCTCTAGAAATGTGATGGTCACGACATCTGCGCAACGATGCTCGATTGTATAGATCAAAGACGGCTTAACGTCAAGCGGGTACACCTTTGACAAGGACTTCCTTTATTGTAACAAGCTATATATCAAGAAATGGATAATTTGCTCTCCGGCTTTCAAAATGGCGAGACTGAGACGCGATCACAAAAATATTCAATGGTAGCAACTTGGAGCAAAGCGCAGCTGAGGCAAAGACTGAAGCATCGCGGATTCGGAAGAGCATTCGGAACATTCCTTAGGGGTAAAATCTCATAGCCTATAAGGCCGCTTTTTCTGCCGCACCCAGCTCCAATCATGATCCTTCAGAGCTTTTTTAAGGGTTAGTGCCATGTCGGCATAATTTGCACTGTATTCTTATATTAATTTGCTTGGCCAAGCCACTTGGGACGGATGCACATTTTTTTATTTTCACGAGATCTGCCGCAGGTTCCGCTTCCCGATAAAGCAACCCAGGATGGGGTTTTACGACGTTGAAGGAACACTCGTCGATGCCATATCGATTATGTAAGCGCATGCACTCGTATATTACATCCGATTATTCGTGTTTTGAGCGAAAATGTTGTCGAAATAGGTCTTGGCATCACTACGATTCAGTCTGAATAGCTGTATCTCCAGACAATTGAACGTCAGTTATGCATTCAACAGCCGCCCCCGAAGCCTCCCGAGTTCACCACAGCGAGAGGGATATCGCTGCATCCTTTGATCAAACTATTAATAATTTAGAAGGCACTAGACAAATTGCAGCCAACCATGCTCGTCTGCTGCATATGCTTACTATTGGCTGCATCTAGCTTGTCATAAGCATGCACGATATGCTATTTAGCTAGTATGTCTGACGCAGAAAGATGACACCCATCGTGGCTTTCATCTTTGGACAAAATAATGTTAACGATGTTGCAGTATTTTTCCGGTAAAAGGCATCTATGTGTGACGCAATATTTGGTTTTAGATATTTAATCCAGCTTTATACCGACCTTCTTATCTGGGGGAAAGCGCATGGTGAATCACTCATCATACGTTGTGATTTTCATACAACAAAAACATAAAGATTCTCAAGTTCGCTGACCCACTCCGCACACTTAGCGCTATGCAAAAATCTTCATCGACAATTTCACACAGTTTAAATGCTGTGTTCAGATCTTTCTTGGATACCATTGTCTTGCATTGTGTTGCACATAATAATTTTCCGGGGTAATACTTTCAACTTTCATAAATATTTCCGTCGGAGGTAGTGGGGGATTACAGCCCCTAGGACTACCACGGTCACTTCATCTAGTAGTGAATACTTCATCTCACTGGCTATTCACGGTGCTTTGATGCTCCTCCCGGTGATTTAGTCACGTGATAGTGCTGACTCAGGACTACCGTTACGTCGCAACGTGTTCAATCATCCTTCTAAGCCTCGCGGTCTGATCTTTCTGCTTTTGACTGATAGTGGCCGGTATTTACCGGACTAGACACACGAGACAACAGCCCGTAGCTGTTCTTTGTCGTCTTATCACAATTAGAGTCGAGGGAGAACGAGGTACTGTAGTCCTTACACGTATCAACTGAGATATACTATGGAGTCCGCAATCTTTGTCTGTATCATCCTGATACCTCGGCTCACCGCCGTTTCTGCCTTCCGAGCTCTGCCGCAGCACTAAGCAACATCATTCCTATCAAATCTAGAATTTATATCCTGCATAGACTTCTGTGCCGGACATGGGTGCCTTGAGGCCCCTCACCAACTCCAAGACTAAACTGAGATTGTATAACGATTTATCTGCAGGACTAGATAACGTATCACTGTTTCAACATCATCATTTAAAGATTAGGCATCACCATCAACATTTTTCTAGTATCCCCGTTGTAAGATGCACGGATTTCGTTAGCGTATTTGACCTGTTTATTGTCATCGGGTACTGGATGCAACTTTTGACTGTCGCGCGTAATACGCGAATGGACAACGCTCTTTAATTTACCAAGAACTCTCACGCCTTCACGAATTTGGATACGTGAATATCTAAACCAACAACTCTTGCCTGTGAATCTCACCTCCTTTAGTGAGAGTCGCTCCTTCACGGGCACAACTTTGTTGACCACGACGTCCACGGGTACAAGCAATACGTTTTCTCTCAGTAGGCCGCGCTGCACCTGCTGAAATTCGAATTTACTCGCGTGTGGCTTATTGGACCCCTCTAAGTAGAAGACCGACCTTTCGGACCTCTAAGCCGAGAGCAAAGGAAAGCGCATGTCTTGAATGTCTTGTATTGCCGCTGGTCGTAATATAACATCGACCCAAGATTTCAACAATGCCTTTTAGAACAGATTTTTCAATCGGCACCTGAAAATACTCACACTTTTAATTTTTTGCCTTACACGTTCGAATCAATCATTAAAATGAAAAAATTATATTCTTGACTGACATGGCGACGCAAAGCTACATTCAAAATATTTCCCATCACCTACGTATTGCATATTTGTAGAATAATAATTAGCTGTCCGGATTTTGTTGAGCCAACAAACCCATTACGCACTCCACTTTCTGCTGATAAGTACATCACCACGTGTTTTGTTATCAGACCAAAATTCTTGAATTCGATTATGCCGTAATTTGACGATGTGGCGAGTCTCAAATCTTTTCTGCGACCAAATAATTCGAAGACAAATGTAATTTGCACTATGGTACCCGAGACTTTGACATTCCATACAACCAGTTGAGGGTGACCATGAAATGTAATAGCTACAGATCAGGATAAAAGTGGCAAAGATAGCGTCTAGAAAATTAGTTGACGTTGTCGTTCCCGCAGACAGCTTGTAACGACAGCTTTGTCAAGCATTTAAACAACTAGCATTCTTGACAGAGGAGAGTGACCGATACGAACCATGACACACTCCATTTTTTTTACTGCACCTTTGGTCATCGTTGTGATCTGTGTATTCTATGGAATACTAATCATGTAAGGTTTCCATTGTCACAGTTTAGAATTACTCCTCGCGGCTTTTACATAATGTAAGAGCTAGAACTTGCAAAATTTGCATCTCCAAACCGTTGGACAAACATTGCAAATAATCTAATAAGAAAATGTGACAATAGGATAAATCCCAAGATTATTGTAACAATTTCTCCTTGCAAGTTTGTGTGCATAACATTTTTATCATATTGCGCTTCTCAAGATATACAGTCTAAAAACGCCTTAGTACCAAGACTGATACAGTGCCACCGCCAGAGAATGAAGTCTACAAAATTTCTGCCAGAGGATGAGGTTGATCAAATCACTACCGGAGGATGAGGTAGAAATACAATGGCAGATGAGCCATGATTGTGGGTTCCAAATAGAATACGCAAGTCTATGTGTGAAAACATTAATAAAACAGTCTTTAGAATGTATTCGGCAATTGTTCTATCTGGTCGGTTTGAAGATATCATTTCTTTTGATAATTCTGGATCTACTGAATATTTTGATGAGTATTGGTGATAATTTTGCATATACATCAGCGGTCTAAAATGACAAATTTGTCTTGAAATAAATGTTTAACCTTAAAATTTTAATACTTCAAGTACAATTGATGGGAGCAAGTCTTTGTTGGCATGCACTGCTAATAGTTCAAAAGACGAGAATACTAGCAGCGAGAACTTTGATCTGGGGACTCTATTTCAGCTCAAAGTCACGGGTAGGATGATGGAGATGCTTTTAACGTTGCAACGCAGTCAGGATCTCAAGCATGTGGTGTCTTTTGGACGTCACAATTTGATCAATCGTACATGTCTATGCTGGAAGTTAACAAGGCATGAACTTTTGTAGGCCTGAAATTAGCAATTATGCTGATCAGTAAGCTGATGAACACCCAAAAGGGGATCTATTGATTTCCAAATGGTACTGTAATTCATGCTAATTTAGACGCAGGATCTGTAAATACAGTGGTACCTATAATAACCTGATACGAAAGGACATGTGATGTCATTGTGCTGTGGCCTTTGTCATCTATTATACAAAAACTGTCGAGATCGCATCAATCTGTTCGATCTGCTTTTGTAGATGTGAGGAATCCTGTGTCAAGTGAATTATGAGTGAGCAGCTTGTCCTTCTGGCACTGATTCTGAAACGCTTGGATCTCTACAAAGCTTAGGGCTTGGTCCGTTGCAGAGCGTATTGGCACCACAATGACTGCAAACGAATAATTCTTGCGTCTATAAGAGCAATATGTGAAGCATAAAGGAATTGCTCGCTGCTATGATGGTGAAGACAAGAAGAAGGTCAAGTCGAAGTAGCACAGTTACATTTGCAAATCTATCTCTTAGTCACTATACGCCACCAATAAGAATATTGTCACTACATAAGAACGACACTCGTTACAATAATTGCCATCGTATAAGAAGCCTATCCGATGGCGAGCCAGCTTTTGTGTGTTTGTGCATCTTTGGTGTGGCTACAACAAACCCATCTATCGGGATCCACGTAGCCAGCGCCTATCCACTTTGTCTCGTCCATGTTGAGATAAAAAACACTAAGGCATTTTTCACCAATCAATTCTTTGAATATACTAGCGCTCGTCCATCAGTAGAACTCAATTCCCTACCCCTGGACGGTACAATCATGACTACCAGCCAGCCAAGCCATAATCATGCAAGCATATGATGTGTCCTATTCAAGTCTCCCTTCCCCTAAGAATGGTCTGGACGGATCTGTTGATAGGCTTGCAAACATACGCAGAAGTGTGGCAGCAAACTGGACAATTGTGACAACAACAACCACACCCTCAAGAGTATTTTTGAACGTACCAAGTCAGGTCACTGTACAATCGCCAAGGAACTGTGCCCTTCCTCTCTTTCTTGTTCTTCATTACGACGAGACCTTTGTGGTGTGTGTAGGTACCACTCGATTATGCAGGCGATGCTTAGTGACAATGCTCGAGACCCACCGTTCTACTTACAACGAAGTACTTCACTCCACCATCAAGATATTGTCACTCCACATGCTAATCTCCCAAGTGGTGCCATTTCTAATCTTGCTCCTGGTGCCAACATCAATTCCGAGGCGAATGTCACTGCCAGTCTCCGTCGAACGGGCGCGTCTCGTCGTGCTGCGCCGTCCGAAGATCGACCGTTTTCATGTCCAGTTCCGAATTGTGGAGGACGATTTCATCGTAAATTTACACTTCATGAACATCTCAAGACCCACACGGGAGAGCAGCCACATCAGTGTCCTGTAAGTGAATGTGGTAAACGTTTTAGTACGTCTGGAAATCTCGCTCGACACCGTAAATTGCACGCAATGCGCAAGATTAGCTGTCCAGCTGCCCATTGTACACGCGTCTTTACCAGTCGAGAAAAACTGGTGCCTCATCTTAAAGTGCATCTTGCGCGTACACCCCATACGTGCGACTTTCCTGGTTGTGGCAAGACATTTAGTACCGCAGGTAATTTGACTCGGCACCGTCGAACACAGCACCGTGCTGGTCCATCATCGCGTCAAGATTCGTTGTTGGGCTCAGCTAATCTCGTGGCGACGTTGCCTCGTCCGAGATTCGAGTTCCCTGGTCGACCTCCACCTCCCACGGGCTCACTTCCAATGCGTGGTTTGCTATGGCCATCGCAACCGCCAGCAGAACAGCATCATCCACCACAGCAGCGCATTCTTGAATCAGATGTCCAAGATTTGTTTGACTGCCTCTTTGTCGAGAATGCTCAAGCTGCTGCGGCTGCACAAGCGAATGGTCATCACAATGTGGGAATTATTAGGGACAGATTGCCGAAACTTGAGCCTCCACGTGAACACAGAGCATCCCACCATCATCATGCACAGACACCATATCTCTCTGCTACGTATGAATTCTAGGCTTTTTTGTATTAGAGTGTTAATAACTTTATTGTTAGCAGTGGGATGTACACAATATTCATCAAATATTCAATACAATTAACTAGTAAGAGATAAAGACTGGTAGATGAGCAATGACTTCATGATCTTCCGAGCACTCGACGTCAGCTTTGCTTGCTATTGCTATGCTTCAAGTCACACTTCAAGGAAATGTGACATTTTCAAGAATCAAAAGTAATGATCCAGCCCTATATTATCGAACAATTGTAGGGTACGTTCCTCACCTAATACTTGAAGTCTCACCCTCGCTTAACCAGCTTTCATTTGATTGTAACAAATCGTCTCAGCAAGATATAAAAAAACTCCTTCCTGCTTGCCTATCCATGTTTGACCAAATGCAGCGAGAATGGCATATTCATATTACAAAACGTGGCGGTTGTCTTGCGATTTGGGTTGTCGATTCGGCACTGAAGGACGTAATCACCTCATATTCTCAATCGTTAATTTATACCAGTCGTATATTACGTAAAGCCATATGGAAACACCGTTTAAATTATATGTGTGGTCCAAGTTCACCAAGTTGCGTTTCTTCTATATATATGATGATTCCTTGTCTTAAGTTTTATTTAAGATGAGTCGGCTCGAACGGAAAGTGAAGAGGGACTGTGATACTTAACGAGATAAACCGCATCACAACTTATTTTGAGATGACTTGTTTTCTGACGCAAGCGAATGACACAAATATTGCGATAGAGCGCGTAAGGTATGACTTTCAGAGTTATCGCAGCTTAGACAGCATGGCGATGATGCGAAATTTCAATCACAGAAGAGCTGACTTTGTCAACCACGGTTGGGTACTTAATCACACATGCTTTTTAGAGCATTTAGATTTCTGAGCCCCCTAATGTGCACGTTTAAGAAAACTACTGAATGCCTCCGTAAAATAGGTGTGGCCGTCGTGATTAACGCGATTACAGAACTTATTGGTAAAATGGTTCTCTCTGATTTGAACAGCTGTAGCAAATTTCGAGTCACGACCAAACACCTTTCTCCTCACCCGGCAACAGACGACCTAGCCATTGCCAAAATAGGAAGCAGTCGGTGCACTCGATTTCTTTGCTACATAAGTTTCAATATTTGTGTTGGCGGAAGTGTTGCGTCCTCCAGCAATGAAGGTCACTAAGATGTCCTGTTCGTGTCTAACGAGCGGGACTTGACTCAAGAAGCCTAGCTTGCTTTGCGACTACTTCCCTGCCAAAATCTACAAAATTTGATACCGGCATTTAGCCTTTAAATATCTCTCACCTCGCTGGTGCGAAACCTTTCTGCTCCTATCTATGAGAACCTTCCACTCAAACCAACCGAACACAAAAGCAAAAATTTACTTTTTTATCGCTTTCCAAGATCGCAAGTCATCACTACCGCCTGTGCGTAGAGCAGCAATGGTTAAGAAAAGCTGATCCCTCACAGAGGAATGTCCTTTCGGTGCTTGAAGGAAACCAAAGTACCAATTGATCTCAATATCAGCTCGCGCACTGGAGAAAAATCAATTTTGTACTAAGTAACCGATTTCATAATCTACCGGCTTGTTTCAAGCCGTAAAGTTTTGAAGTAGTAACAATACGATTTCAATTACAGAATTCACACCCAACTCCTTCAATACTTGATCCCGGATCTCCATCCCTTGTGGGATCTTAATATAAATGGGGTGTTCCTCTTCAGCGGATGCTTTGACGGAAGCATTAGGCACATCTCCGCGTCTAGCTGGTACCTCCCAGTGTTGCGCCATTGCCAATATCACTTTGGCAGTGATCATTTCCATGACATGTGCATATGTAAGCATGAAATCCTCACCAAAG